TCCTGAAAATTGCGTGATGTGTACAGAGCCGAGAAAAGAAGTGATGAGAAACAGTGGGCAGGAAGTTAGGGAATTCACCAATGAAATCACTCACTATGTGTGACCCATGCCAAGCATAATTTAACAAGCACCCTGCTAGGACGTCTGTCTGACGACGACGACGACGTTGTTACATTCAATGTTGAAATAGATTGTCACATTTAATTTCATTAGGGGTTAAAGTCAAGTTCTGGCAGACAAAGCCAGTTACAGGAACGTAACAGGCTTGCCAGCCCGACCTGTATCATTAACAATTTTAACGCGCTGCTATGAGCTTGTTGGTTGTGATAAAAGCATAGTGGTTGGGCTCCGTTATAACACATAGGCTAGGAGCTGCAGATCCCTGAAATATTCCTTAGGTATTTCGTAGGGAAGTGCCTGGGTGTTGTGGTTATGAAGAGGCACATATATTAGGGGAATCAATTTAAGGGCACGAAGGTAACAAAAATGGTGGCATGGCTGCTGCCTAAACTGTATCTGGCGATAACTGTAACCAATTTGACGAATTGAATGCGAGGCTTAACAGCTAATGGAAGGCTGTTATGTTTGGAAGTAGTGCTCTAGAACGCCAGACATGAATGGCTAAATAATAATTTTTTTCTAGACCTTGATCATGCATGACTAATGGAATAACAGAATTTGAGTGACGTAGTTATGGAGTCATGGATGCCTGGGTGACCTTCAAAAAGCCTGCACGAAAAAGTCTGCACATCTTCGCGGGCGTGTGGCTCGAGGGGCTTAGGTCTTGAAAATGGCGGTCTGTAAACCGCACCGAATGGTGTTCAAAATGATTATTTTAGTCTAAAACTCCATACAAATGAGGAACACTTCCATCAATGATTCTGCACCAAAGCAAAACAGTCCGTCATGAGATACTGAATTAGATACATAAGGATGAGGCGAAAACTACAGACTTTCAAATGGTAGGTGTTAACAAGCTCAATGCGTTCATGAAGACAGCTCTTTTCCAGCGTGTCTGAAAGTCAACATGAAAAGAACTGTGCCACCAAACGTGGTTGCCCACTTTCCTTTGATTTGCGAGTCTCTGTCGGTTTATGTAGCACATAGGTGTTGGTCAAAGATGCCGCTGGGAATTATTACGAGTAAAAGTACATGCTCATTGGTAGTATCTGAGCCATGAGAGGGCACAAATCAGACGCAAAAATTCTGCCGGAGTATCTGCATGTACCTCCTACAGAAAAGGGATCAACTGCTTAAGTGTGATCCACTCGATGATGAAATACAGTGCTGGGAAGTCGACGAAGCGCACTGGAAGGAGGGGACGAGGGGAGATGGAAACGGGACAGCTGTTTTAGTAGATGGACCAAATTAGAAAAGAGGTTTTGTTTAAACGGTAGCGCCGTAACGTGCCTGGTTCTCTCATAACATTTTTGCAAATTTTTAACTTACTTTATAAAATATATTCCGAATGGTTTGCATGGGGGACTTTGGGTTCAGGGCACCTGCTAAGCATAACTTGTTGCGTGTGCCCTGAACCCACCGTCCAAGTCGTACCGTCCAGTTCAACGGATAATTTTACCTCCGCCATTGCGCCAGACAGGAATGCGGAGGGTTGTTTTACGTGCCACACAATGTTGCGCCACGGCCGCCCCTGGCCGGGGTTGCCCCTCGTTGGCCAGTTGCCAGCGGACCTTTCCATTTCAGGCGAGCCAGACAATGCACCCACTCTGGGACTCATTCCCATTGCCACTGGATTACGAGTCCAGCATCTTTCTAGCAGACCGCAGGGACGGTATTATTTTCTAATTTCTAAAGAATTCCAACTTTTTACCTGCGCGAAATAGAACGCCAATATTTACGACAAACTTTCAGAAAATGTTTTTAGATTTTCGGCCGCCTATGCGTGTTAATTAGGTGTTGCATGATTTGGAAGCTGAATGCGTCCCACTTGTTCTTTGGATAAGCTCAGAATACCGAAGGCCCGTTGGGGAACTCTGTGAGAGTGAAGAGTGGAACTAAGTCACTGCGCTTTCGTTTTCTCCAGAGCGCTACATTTAGTGGTAACCCCCTGAGAGCATTTAAAAAGAAATGTTAAGATTCACTCTCACCACAAACATAGGCAGCTAATTCGTAGTCATTTTATTATATTTAATTACCTTGGCTGCATAGAATACTGCGCACCATTTTTTCAGTTCCTTCAATTTAGATTTTTCTGCCGTTTCAGTATAACTCCCTGGTGAGCTAAAATCTGTCGTACTCGGTGCCCAGCGGCGCCGTGCGACGTCTGCACCGCGACGGGTCAAATTCACGCTCGGTAGAGCGCCAGCGAGGCTAAGCCAAGCCTCAGCATTGGCAACTAGTGCTGCCATAATTCACTTTTTGGCAAGGAGGTTCTTTTCCCTAGGAAAGGAGCTATCCGTAAAAGTTTGCTTTTACGCAGATCTGCATGCTTGCCTTTGGTGTGTAACAACATTATAATATGCGTAACATACATGCACCAAGTACAAACAGGAATCAGGCTCCATTGGCTCAGGATGACAGTTGGGAAAATACCAGCGGCAATCGTGATATATTGCAGGGCATGCTATACTGCATCTAGGTTTCAAATGGCCTGTAAGGTATGCTGAAGTGCTGCCGCTGGAATCATTGGCAGACTCAGTGGAATGTTCGACACACGATTATGACGCGGCGCTGAAGCCGAACCAAAGCTGCGCAACTGTCCAGCAAAGCCGTGCCACTGTACACAAGCACGCGGCGCAACAGCTTGTTGAACACCGAATCCCCTGGGTAAATTAACACTCATGCATTACCTGGTCTGCGTTTAGGCCCCCCACAGCAAACCACGACCTGTGAAAACTGCTGTCTTGGCTCAGTTTTGATGATGTCACGATTCGTGTCAAATCGGTGTTTCGGTAGCATCAAGGAGGAATTCTTTTAGCGGAAAACACTGGTGCATTGTTGTACTCAATAAACCTGAAGGCATTAAGCGTGGGCCAATTTTGGTGCGTTGCTATTAACATCAACACCCGTGATGCATGCAGTGTACCATATTGGCTCGTAATTTACTCATGATGCTCAAGAAGTTGCAACGCACCACGTGACTTGCAATATTTGCTGTCGTCACAAATTCACCTACAAGTACGCAACATGTTGTTCACGAGCTCCATCATCTCTGCCCAGCTCCGAACAGGTTCTGTCTTCACGATAAGCTGGAAGATCAACTGGGAGACGATTCCCGGCAGTCAGACGGCCGATTTATCCATAATGCTGACGTTCGTCACGCGTTCGGAATGCAACAATGTCACACCTGGTTATCTTACAATTATCCGCGCAACACACAAATTAGCGGAGGATACGACAGTGAGCTTTACAACCCGCAGTATCAAACGCTTATCACGTTGTCACGAATAGACGTTTATATATCTTCGATGATGCAAAGCTGATAGAGCTCATGCATCGTGCTTTATACTCCACTTGCTTATTTAACCAAACGTAGATTCGATCTGCCGCCACCTTATGTGTTTTCAACTATCATAGCACCTTAGTTTAGCGCGGCTACGCAATTTTTCTCTCCACAATGATGCATACTAGTTCAACCTTCTCCCAAACAGCTTTACATTACAAGTAACATATTCACGTCTTGATGGATGACAATCGAGGTTAAAATCCGATCGAATCCGAACAAGCGTGTTCAATGCTAAGATCGAATGTTTCCCCAAATTATATCGTTGGTAAAACATTCAATCCTGTGCATCCAAATCTCTGGATATCTCCACAACTCTCAGTTTGACTTCCTTAGTTATCGGCTCTCATAGCTAACACGTGACTACAAGTAAGCATCACACGTCTACCAGTGACATCTGCTTGGTGCGGTTCTTGGCAGACCCAGTGTTCACACCATGCACCGGACTGAACGACTGTCGGGGCGCTGCTGGGTCGCGCCACGACGCAGAAGACCGCTGACAGGCGTCGCCGCCCACACCCGGCCACCTTCGGTCGGCCGGGACGCGTCTGTCGTCACCGCTGCGAATATCTACCGGGAAATTCACATGTTTGACCGTCGAGGGTTCGCTCCAGGCCGTTCGGCGCGATCCGTTCCCATGGATACGCCCCAATTTTCGCAAGGTTGCCGCAACGCTAACCTGCGCACACTAAACGTCTCTGCAACGTTGCTACACTTCTGGAAAACTGACACCCGGGTGGCGGTCGGTCGCCGCTGGTATAAAACGCTCCGGCGCTTGGGAGTGGACACCAGTGACTGCGGTAATTCAACAGCAGACACCCCAGGAGAAGCCGAACTGCCATGAAGGTAAGGAGCCGCCCCGCTGGTTCAGCTGCGTGGCTGACGTGCCGCATCAGCGGGGGAAGCGTGTGGGATCAGCGGTGCGCTGGGCGAACCGTCACGGTGGCTCGCTCGGCTGGGATCTGCGGTGCGCTGGGCGAATCGTCCCGGTGGCTCGCTCGGTCCAGTTAGCTTTGTGCGTCATGGCCACGTCATCAACACTTCCTTGAATGCAAGGTGTTTCTGCATCATTAGTCTGTTTGTGCTGGATTAGTTTGCGAAACTTTACGCAAAACATTACGTAGTGAAAGAGATACACTAGCTACATGGTGCATTTTGTCGTAGCAAAGTACCGCGGGTTTTCAGACATGTTGGGTCTTCCGTGCTGACTCGCTTAGTCCGAGAATGCTTCATAAGTTAGCTTCCTTTGTGTTGGGGCAAAATACTTCCGTAACAAATGCGTTTACGGGCAGGCTGATGCTTTTAGGCCAGTTACCAACACACCGCAAACCGTTTGCATGCCGTGCAGATCATGCAAACGCGACTGAAGTCCCCATCACTTGCAGCTGGGCTTCGTGCCTTACCCGGCTATGGTGCCTTGTAATCAATGCAGGTTCTTGGGAACATCCAGAATAGCATTAGACAACGCTGCATGGCGGTGGTAATACCTGCAACAACGCTGCCCTTGGCATGACAGACAGAGCCATCAATCTGATCAATGCCGTCCCTGCAGGTGCTGATCGTGCTTGCCGTGGCAACGGCTGCGTCCGCCCAATACTACAGCTCCTCTCCTGCCCCTGCCCCCAGCCACCGCCCAGCTCCCACCCCCAGCTACCAGCCCGCTTCCGCCCCCAGCTACCGCCCCGCTCCCGCCCCCAGTTACCAGCCCGCTCCCGCCCCCAGCTACCAGCTCGCTCCTGCTCAAAAGGGATCCGGCTATCAGGAAAAGGTAAGATGGTTTTTTGGTTTCATGCATAAAGGGGTTGACTATTTCTTAGAAGAAAAATGTCGTCACACTTAGCTCGTTTCCTTACTGATTCCACGTTGCAATGTATTAACTAGTCGTTAACAGTTTTAAATGAGTCAAAACTATGCCTTCTGTTGCATTCGTACTCAAAGGTGCAGTCACTCATTCTCATGTTTACAAAATAATCCATGCATTCATGCATTTGTTTTGTGATCACCCAACTGTTCATCCGTATATCAATTATACTTCTGGTTACAAATACCCATATTCATATAATTCATTCACTCACTCATTTAGCGCACATTCGGATCATGGGAATGTGTGCTGCAGCCGGCATGCACGGCTCTAACGAGACTCGTTCACAGAGCGGCCCTGCGCAGTACTCATTCGAGTGGAGCGTGGACGAGGACTACAACCAGTACAACCACAAGGAGAGTAGGGACGGCTACGACACTGAGGGCTCTTACTCGGTGGCGCTGCCCGACGGCCGCGTCCAGACTGTGACCTACACCGTGCTGGGCGACGCCGGCTACGTGGCCGAGGTCAGCTATCAGGGCGAGGCCCAGTACCCCGAGGCCAAGCAGCGCGGCTACCAAGCGCAGGGTGGCTACCAGGCCGCGCCGGCGCCCACCAAGTCCCAGCAGGGCTACGCCCCCAGGCCCGCTGCCAGGCCCCAGCAAGGCTACGCCACCAGGCCCGCTGCCGGGCTCCAGCAGGGCTACGCTACCAGGCGAGCTGCCAAGTCTCAGCAGAGCCCCTCCCGGCCCCAGCAGAGCTATTCTCAGCCCCAGCAGGGCTCCTCCCGGCCCCAGCAGAGCTATTCTCGGCCCCAGCAGAGCTACTCCCGGCCCCAGCAAAGCTCCTCCCGGCCCAAGCAGAGCTACTCGCAGCCCCAGCAGAGCTACTCCCGGTCCCAGCAGGGGTACTCGCGCCCCCAGGCCCGGCCCACGTACGCCCCGCGTACGTACAGCGCCTCTAGCGGGAGCTACGCGAAGTCGACGACGGCGCCCTCTGCGGAGTACGGGGCGCCGGCCAGCACCGCGGCGCCCGCCGCCTACCCCTCCTACAAGACCAGCAGCGCGCCCAGTGAGGAGTACGGAGCGCCGGCCAGCACCGCAGCGCCCGCCGCCTACCCCTCCTACAAGACCAGCAGCTCGCCTAGTGAGGAGTATGGCGCCCCCGCCAGCTACTAGAATTCTAGGACATACTGGACATCGGGAATCCGAGGTCAAGGAGTCCCTCCAAAGTCTTATAGCTTTTCCGTAGCATACCAAGCCATCTAACCTCCTTCCGTGGTCAGATAGCCCCAGGCCTCTGCGGCGACGAATGTTCATGTGATGTGTCTAGCGAATGTCTGCTCGTACAGTATTTATTGTAGTGTGTCCGACGTACCGTGATATGACACGGGCCGCAGCCGGTCGCGCTGAACTCCCAGGTAAGATCCCAGTGAGACAACACCAGAGGATCAGGTCGTCATCCCAGTGGATGTCCCAGCTGAGGATCAGTTGCAGTTCCAGCGGAGGTCCCACCCGAGGTCTCAGCTGAGGTCCTGGTGAAGTTCCAGTGGGGTCCCACGTGATACCCCACCTGAGGTCGCAGCTGAGGTCCACCAGAGGTCCCAGCGGAGGTCTCAACTGAGGTCCCAGTTGAGGTCCCAGCAGAGGTCCGCACTCAACCACTCTGTCCTAGTGGCTGCCCCCGTCAGCCGCAGGGGAGCAGGGATCGCTCATGCTGCGATAGGACGATGTATGTGTTGAAATGTTCTGTCTCTAGTCACAATAGATGTGCGGCGGTGTGATGTGCGGCGGCTCGCAGCAGCCGGCCGCGGCGATTCACAGCCTGACGCCTCCGGTGGATGACCTGGGAGCTGGCGTGTTCCGAGCTGGACGTTCAAATGGAATGTTTAGTAGCGATGGGGCAGCCGGTCAAGGGCTTTACCAAGGCTTTCCATTCTTCGTGTTTTTGGCCTGAATAAAAGTAACACACAACTGTTGATAAGGGTGCACATTCAAGTTCAAACAGTGCTGTCCGAGCTGGAAGACGTTTGAATAGATAAGACAGAAACATCTGAGCGAAACGAGCAAAACATCTATCAGGAGGTATGAATTATAATACATATCAAATACAGTTTCCATTCAGGCGTTAATGCCTGGGACATTCAGACCTGCACCATGCTTCGCCACCACGAACGCAACGCAGGGCATACAACTAGGACTTAACGCCGTCGGGGCGCACGCTTCTTGTCATAATGCTGGGCAAGGGCAAACTCCATTGACTCTGTCGCCGCACTCCAACCACAGCTTCACACGGAGCACGTTACACTGACACCCGGTACGCTGGTGTTAGACGCAGGCCCGCTGGAGATGGGCACAGGTCAGCTGGTGTCGGACGCAGGTCCGCTGGTGTTGGAGACGCGTCAGTTGTTGTCGGACGCAGGTCCGCTGGTGATAGAAGCAGCCCGATGGTGCCAGACACAGGAGCGCCCGCATCAGACAGAAGTACAATGATGAAAGACAGAGGACTGCATTGCCAGACAGAGGCTGACTGGTGCCAGACCCAGTCCAGTGAGTGTTAGATCCGGGTCATCAATTGGCGAGACCAGCCGCCTGGTAAAAGCGGCTCTGGAACCGAGCGGACCCGCCGACCGGAACGCAACAGCCTCGTCACGTTCTGTTGATGACTCGGGAACGTTGGGAACCGTGAGCGCAGCCCGCGCCTGAGCGACGTACGCAATCCTTCGGAAATGCATGGGATCGAACCGACTGGCCCATTTGGGCCTAGTGACCTCGCTGTTTCATTCGGCCGGCTCGTGCCAGTGGCTCATCAGTGCTCTCTAGGCACGGGTGGTAAGACTGCTTACATTGGAGTCAGTGGATATGTCTGATTTTTTTATTATTTGCCCTAGGACCAGATAGTAGTAGAAGCTTTATTCTTCGTTGAAAACCATGAGAATGGAGGCTTATATGTGTTGATATTGCGGCAACATGCCCTTATGGAAAAGAATAAAAGTATTAAAGTCAAAATTGCCTGGCAATCCTGCCTGGTAACAATATTAAGTTTACTACTGCTATTCGTTTCGACAAAGACATGTTGCCAAAATATCAAGGCATCTTTATTTCTATTCTCCTGGTTGTTCTACGAGGAATAAAGCTTTTACTTCTGTATTATCTAAGTACATAATGCTGCTCGCAAATGCACCTACAACTTACATAATTTTGCCCAGGGACAGAATCAGTTTGGACCAAGGACGTCCTTAAGCTGTAAGGTTTCGTGTGACATAATTATCAGTCCATGATCACAAGCTTAAAAACGGACTAACGAGCACAAGCTGCGCAACAAATAATTAATGGTAAGACATTTCGATTTTAGGAGAGTCACACCTCTGTTTGTTACTATCACCTGTAGAGCATAATAAAAACACCTGATCAGCAAGCATCAGATCACGCCCCTGTTTGCTACTGTCACCTGTAGAACATACTAATAACACCTGATCATGAAGCATAAATCATCATGCATCGCGAGCTCGCTCTGCTGGTAGGCACTAATAGAACGAGAGTCAAAGAAATGACCATTTCACGGCGGATGCATTTTTCCTACTTACAAGGAATAGGGAAGGTGATGAATAGCTAAATGGTTTATTCCGATTTTACAATAACAATAGCTACACACCAGCTTTCTAAACAGCTCGCTCAATTGGCAACGCAAGCTACGCAAATAGCATAGACGTAAAAGCTTTGAATTGCACCGTGCTGAAGACCTGTCGACTGCGGCCATTTACAACTAACTCAGATGAATAGCGCACTTCATGTTTGTTGAAATGAATGATCTGTGACATGTTCAGCACCAGCATGTCGGTGACGTATGACTGACGGCAGGGCTTACGGCATGACAGGAGCCGTAATGCTAGCGAAAACTGCAGCGTCACCGGCACCTACCAGTAAAGTCAGGCCCTTCGATGCATCAGCTTTATCAGCTGAAGTGGCCGCTGCTGCAAACGATTGAGGCATGCTTAACGGGATGACGTTTAATGACGCTTAACAATTGCAGCTGTTGAAAACTGCTCGCTATGTAATCGACACAAGCTTAACCATCCCCTTATTTGCCATTTTTCTTAACACGGACTGATAGGCGGTAGATGCAACCAACCCATACTGTTTCCAAACTAAGAAATATAAGGGCTAACAAACGACACCAGCGAACTGGTTTCAACGAGATCTCGCCACTAGCCATGAGTTTGTTGTTGCTAGGTCAATAATCGACCGTTTTATGCCAGGTCAAAGTCAAATTTTCCTTCCAATTGCACTTCGCAACTTTACATGTTCATGTGTGCCAGGCCATGCCTCATAGCGAAACAAAACCTACAAAACCAGTTGTATGTGTTAGGAGCATATATCTATGATGTTTGTTATGCTCCGGTAATGTAGCGGTGCTGGTCGGCAGCGCGCAATCTGCGGGGTCGTCGGTCGTCGTCCACCGCCCGCGCCGGCCGAATATCGCCGTGCAGTGCTCTCGAAATGCCATCTCTTCCGCGAAACCAGCTAGGAACACGTTTTGGACAGGAAACCCTACGCAATGGATGTCCTTTAGACTACTGGAAGGGCCGGCGCAATTGGCTGCGAAATGCCGGAGAGATATCCTCAGAAAACCTTAGAGGGTGATGCACCTGGGCGAGGGCCAATATAATAGGTTAACAGACCAGGCGCTCTTGTAACATTTCACTTTTCGAATCTATTTAGGCAGTCAGTTGATTTTACTCGCGTTAATTCTTCATACTCCCGACGGTAAGAGAAGGGACAGTTATTTGCCTCCCCGTTGCGTTTGTCGGAATAGCTACAGAACTGGTCGTGATATGCCTCTGATATGTTCATTTCCAAGCACCAAATTGGTTTTAATACGCGTTCGGGTGGGGGTCAAATTGACCCCCCGAAGGTTTTTCCAGAATGGTTTCCGAACGGTGCGGCGTAGCCACGCCAAATTTTTCCTAGTTGTAGGCAATTGAATAGCAGATCGTTTTGCACCAACAATTTTGATGTATCTTGTGAGGTCGGTGACCTATGGCAGGGCAAATTCAGAACATGGTTTTAGCGAAGTCAATTTTTTAGGGAATCGTTCAATCTGATGCAACAACGGAGTGTTAAACAAAGCCATACACCTCTGAGGTGCTTTCTTAGGCAACACAACAGTTTAGTGAGCACATTATGTTGACCCGAGGTCAGGTATGAAGGTCAGGCCAAGATCAAAACAACCTGTTTTATTACTTTAGGGCTTGTCGTATGGGGTAGTTTCGTCGATTTCTAGGGAATTCGAAGTATATTTCTAGGGATTCGTTCATTCTGATGCAACAACGGAGTGTTAGCCAGAGGCACACATCTCTGATATGCTTTCTTAGACAACAAAAATACTGAGTAGGCAAATTACGTTGACCTTAGGTCAGGTGTAAAAATCAGACCAAGGTCAGAACTAATCTGTTCTATTGCTCTCGGGCTTGCTGTATGGGATAGTTGCTGGTGCTCATTTCGAATTTATTGATAGCAGGAACTGCATTATACATCTTCCATGGACTTCTTGGATCAAAATTCTTAGTCAGAATAGGCTATTGACATAGCATGACCCACGTCAGCATGTTATTTTTAGAAACATGTTGTCTAGCGTTATCTTTGTCGCTTACTCAATTGCAAAACTCAGAGCAGTCTTGTGTGGTTTTGGTCACCATGACCTTTAAAAGGTCAAACAAGGTCACTGACCTTAAATGAACATGAGACATTTTGCTTAGAAACACTTGCCTAGGTTCTGGGGGCACTTTGGAGACCAGCCTGGAATTTGACCTGGTTTGACCTTATTTGACCCGAAGGTCATAATTTAAAAACCTCAAAGTTTGACCTAAATGAGTTCACGTACAGGTCAACTCACCCTGTAAATTTAGTATCACTAGCTCTCTTAGTTCCCGAGATCTCAGTGGGGGGGGGGGGGACAAATTGAGCCTCCACCCGAGCCAACGGCATCCAGCCGACCACCCGGGCGCGTAATAAAGAGGCATTAGTTATGCATCCAGGTTACGTCAGACCAATGAAATAGCTGTATTTTAGTCAATCCATGTCTGGCAAAAACGTGTTGGAAAGGAACAGGTGGAAGCGACAGGTCCTAATGCGACTGCGATCATGTCCGCCAACTTTGTCATGAGAGACATTACCTG